TATGTGTGTATGTGGAAAGCTGTTCGCTTTTAAGTTAGCGCATTCGCATATAAACTCAATGGTACTTTGTAGAAGTGAGATTTTAAAATGGATTTCCATGAAATTGGGATTCAACATTTATTTTTCGTAAGCCATTTCAAACTCGAATAAAAACAGATTAACGATAATTTTTATTTTTATTTTTTTTTTTTGGGAGTTGATTTGTTTATATATTTATTAAGATTTTTTAGGATTCTCAAAAACAACCTTCCTAGGCGAGTATGTTTAAATTATGCTGCTTTCTTCAAGACCGTCTAATAATTAGACTTCAGCGAACCTTAAAAATGAGTATTACGGGGTGGCTCCACTGAAACTTCTTCTTCCTCAGCCGTTACTCAGGCTCCAAACGGATTGGTTACTGCATCCTTCTCAAAAACTGTTCACGTTTCCTAGCTACTTTACGTGGACTTGAGATGAAGCATTAAGTAAAACCCAGCGACTGTACTGCATTTATAGAAGTATTATATTTTAAGATTTTTAATTTTTTTTATGTATTTGGTTATATAATTTTTATGAAATGTTTTTTTTTTTTTTAAAACAGAAAACAATTATTTTCACTGCACATCTCTGCAAATTTTAGTTTTAATAACTATCATCTTGCTAGTAATAAAAATAAGTAATTTTCCTCGTCATTATTAAGTTTGCGCAGTTTTTTGCTTACATAAACATCACCTGATTCCTACCCTTAGATCCCTTGCTCCACAGAAAAATTGAGATCTCAGTTATTGGAAAATTGTGATTCAGTGAAGAATCTGGATAACTTCCCTGCAGGGAGAAAGTAGACTAGTAAGCAAAAATTGTAGTTCAATACCACAACTTTGAAGATAAACTCAAATCAACTGGTTCAACAGCTCAGCAGTAAAGTTAGTAATAATAATTTTCACTAGGGTGTGGAGGTTTGCAAAATACCGTCATTCGCCACATCGTCAATACTAGCGCTGCTGGCGAGCTCATTTTAATTTTTTTTTAAATTCATTATTATTTTCTTTTGCTAATGTAGAAATTCAGCATGCCCCAATGAACTGGTAGACAACCAGTATAAAGCTGATGCAATACCAGACAATTGCTTGTATGGGATATGGATGAAAGATAAATGTAAACTAGTTGAAATCTAAAGAGCGAATAGTTGTCATGTGTAAATATAAATGCACATCATTTATATGTATACGAATAAGAAAATATTATCTATTTAATTTTTAAAAACATGGATTAGAAAGATTAGAAAGAATGCAAATTGTGCAACTTACCCCTTTTTTTAAACAGTTGTAAAAGAAATTGCTAATTCCATACTCAACAAAATTGGAGAACAGAGAATCATTTTTAATAAAATTTAAATACTCGGAGCATCAGCCTACCTGTGTGGAAATTGGAGAGTTTTCTCTTAATCAACAAGGTTTATACGTAAAATAGTATTGCTTCGTGCAACATGACTGAGAAAAAGATTTTTGAATATTAAAAATTTCTTTAAATGTCTAAGGGAGCGAAAATGAAAGCCTGAAAGAGGTTTGCGTTGGGAGTCGAAAACAAAAATAATTTTAACTTCGCAACCATCTGGATAAGTTTACAAAAATTTTAGGAAAAGTTATGGAGGAAAGGCATCAAATTCACTCGATGACAGGACACTGCTGGTTTTAAACAAGAGATTGTTTCCTCATAAATCAAAACAAAAATGTTAGTAATAAGACCCCTTGACATCTATATGCGCTATCAACATCGATACACCTCAAGAAAGAGTAAATCTTACAAAATCTTTTTCAGTTTTTTGAAATGTGAGCATTTAGAACAACAAAACTACTGTAGCCCAGAGGGATAATTATTTTAAAACTTTTAAATTTAATAAAATTGGAATATTTTGAGTTAATATTTTTAAACAAAAATAGTTATTGTATTTGTTTGCTATGTGAAATTTTTTTGTTCAAAACCAAAAATAATTTTTTTTGTGCCAGAGCTGTAATGATGAGATTATCAGTCGGCAATTCCATTAAAAATTTGATTTTTTTTAAAAATAATTCATAATTTTTGAATTTTATTTAAAGCTTTAATTACCATAGCTCAAATTACCCGATTTATTTCAAATACTTAAAGTTTTTATCGATAATTTTTTGCTTCTTTGAGGGTAGTATCATTATGTTTCTATCAACGAAACCCTATCGTTTTTTTTTCCTAATAATTTAAAAATTTGATTTTTATAAGCTTCTCTTAAAACGAATTCACCACCAGCCTATAGACAAGAACAGATGGTTAACCCTTGGTGCATGGTCCGGAATTTAACCGTAAACCAAAGAAGAAAACCAAAAATCACACACTAAGTTTTGCAGTGGAGGAAAGACAGCTTACTTGACATACAACTTTTGCCAATAAAATAAATTTATTTTGCATACATTTGCGAACCTTTCAGTATACGAATGAATTAACAAAAGTTCGATCAGTTGCTGACTTTGAATTTTTTTTTTGTTAAATATAAAAATACTAAATCATTCGCAATTACTTAATTAAGCTTCCTTCAAATTTTATAACGATCAGCCAAAACGAAGTTGACCAAACGCAAGAAAACTGAGGATAGGTCAGAAGAAATTCCACTACCTACGCAAACAGAAATTTGCTATGTGATTCTCTTCACGTTTCGAAGTAACTTACAGCCCGCACAAATATTCAGTGAATCCCAAATTGAATATGGAACTATAACGCCATTTTCAAAAACTATTTCTAAGTGGGGCCAAAGATTCCAAACTGGAATTGTTCCGTAGACGATGAGCTCCGAGAAGCTTGACTAAAGTCTTCTATTGATGACATCACTGTAGCTCAAGTGAAGTCCAAAACTGACAAAGACCCACGATTTACACAAGAATTGATTGCTTATGAATTGGTCTTGGATGTCATGGCTGTATCGCCAATACTTATAAAGTAATCACCTGGGACACACGAAGAAATCTGCTCGAGATATTTCCAAAAGTTAAAAAAATTTAAAAGGAATAATTTTAATAGCAAGGAGGAGACAATTAACGTGGTCAATACTGAACTTGATGAGCTTAAATAGAAAAATTTTGAATACTATTTTAAGAAGCGGATTTATAGGCCTAAAATCAATGGCAATGAAATAAAAAAGATTAAAAAGGACAAAAAGATATTAGGGATAAATAGAGAAATTATTCTTTTTTGCTGCTTACGCTTAATATTTTTTTACTTATTTTTTTTTTGTGTTATACATTTTCAGTAGTTTTATATATATTACAATTTTTTACAATAACACATAGGTAATCATTTGAAATAAAGCTTTTGGTAAATAAAATATAAAATCGTTTTTCGAATTCCGGATATTTCAAGCAAAAAGTACTTTCTCTAGCATAAAATATCAAGGTCAATTACCTTAAACTCCCAAACGTATCTGTGTATATATTTGCACATACATATATACATAAGCCACTTGTTGTGCACAAATATTACAAAAGATCATCATAGTCTTAATAAAAGAATATGCCAGGAGTATTATGGTTATGTTCGTAAGTATGTAGGAGTATGTTAACTTGGATGTTTGCCAATTACATTTGGTTTTATAAGGAAATATGTGAGCCATAATATCAATTGAAGAAATTATATAAACATACGTACAATAACAGCCAATCCACTTGATTGTGCTTGTACATATACTCTACAAAAAAAAAAAAACAAAAAAATAAAACGCTTCTTGCTACTTTGTCTGACACATTTATAGATCATTCCATACATACATAGTTAGTCTGGCCGTCGACATTGTATACGCAATGTCATGAATCCTTATAAATGTCCTTTAGCGCACACAAATACGCACACATGTACAAGCTTAAACATATACACATACACGTATATAGTACAGGTCACTATGTGTCATGCTTTTCGTCGTTCTTTTGTTTGATAAGTACTTTCGTTGAGGTTGACTGGTTTTGGTTTGGTTAGCTTTTGTGTTAGTCTGAGATAAAGACCGATGATAAGGACATACATACATATAAGTAGAGTTGTGTGTTGCACACTTTTCTGTGTAAAACACACACGCTTGTATATGCACACACACGTGTTTGTTGGTATGATGCTTAAGTCTTTGTTGTTTTGATTGTTTGATTTTGTGCTTTTTGACAAGTGATTTGGTTTCTTTGTGGCCTGATTTTGGTGATATTTATCTTATTTTATGGATGACTTGTTGTTTGATTAACAAATGTCTGGAAATTTAAATATATGTACATAAATTTAGTAGTCTCTATTATTAAACTAAATGCCAATGCTAAAGAGTAATAAAGAGAAAATATAAAATCGAAATAAAATGATTTTAATTTTTTTCCTTCATATGCCTATAAGGTTGCTAAAAAGTGAGCTAAGTAAAATAACAAATAAAAATATCATTGACTTACAGGTGACTACACTTGATGTTTACTTTGAGGGGAAAATGTTTTATAAAATGTAAGAAACAAAACACAAAACTACATTCAAATGAAGGAGGTCGTCTGAAAATTGCCGCAGGCTTCTTTCTCAGTGCTCTTGCAATCAATGTAAAGGCAGTTGGTTATATACTAAAGCGTATATTTTAGTGACGGAAATTACTGCTGCGTTGAACGGAAATGAAAAACAGTCCGAATTCTCAGCAAATACTCCGAGGTGTGCTCAAGAAACGTGAAATTATTTACTTGCCTGTAAATAATACTGATGTTAGAAAGAGAGAGAGAGAGAGAGAAAGAGAGAGAGAGAGAGAGGGAGAAAGCAGATGAAAGAAATTAATTTAGTTTAAAAAAAATTAACTAAATCCATCCATGCAATATAAATTTCCACTACAACAATTTTACAATATTATTCCTCTATTTTTTATATTTTCATGGCACTTCTGAACATTCAACAAATTACAAAAAATTAACTTCATTAATTAATTGCTTACTGCGCTGCCATTTTGACTGCTAAATGGATTCTAATACTTATTCGGATTCATCCTGCAACAGAAATGCAAAATCATGAAGAGCTACTTGAAGACATTCGAGATGACACGTCCGTGAATCTCATACCTGAGAAAGGTAAGCATTATTTTATAAAAATAAATTATTCGATCTTAATTCCTTCTTCATTATATATATGATATACAGTTTCATCAAAATTTAATCATACATACATATTATTCGAAAAATTTCCTCATGCACCAATTAGCAGCATGAAACATGACAAGAATAATTCTAAGGCATTTAAATTTGGCATTTAAATCGTTGAAATATTTTGATCATATTGTAAAGAGTGATTTTTTTAAGAGCTAAAGTAAAATTCTTCAAAAAACAAAAAACACAAAAATCAGAAAAATTTATGAAAGCTTTATTTGAATCGGTAGCGCGGTCCACACAATTTGATATTTGAAAATTATTTGATGCAAATTTTGACCGCGACTTCGCCCCAAAAGGTCTATCCACGAAGTCCAATTTTGGCATAGTCTTTCCAACATTTTGGCCGGTCTCTCCCGAATAAATGCTTCAATGTTGTTTTCCAAAGCGTCAAATGAAGCTGACATAAGATTAAACATAGCCCCACAAAAAATAGTCTAATGGCGTTAAATAGCACGATATCCGCGGGCAATTGACCGGTCGCGAACGTGAAAGCAAAAGTTCACCGAACTGGTCTCTCAATTAGTCCATTGTTAAGCATGCTGTGGGGCATGTGGTACCGTCTTGTTGAAACCACATACCATGTAAGTCAAGCACTTGCATTTTGGTCAAAAAAAAGTTTGATATCATCTCACGGTAGCGCTCACCATTCACAGTTACGTTACCATTCGGATCATCTTTGAAGAAATACGGTCCCTTGACCTGGATGCATTGGTAGCTCTCGCAATGCTTCTGGTTCATCTTTAGACCAAAGTCGACAATTCTGCTTATTTACGCACCCATTAATCGAAAAAATGAGCTTCGTCGCTGAACACAACTATTTATATTTTTTTTTTTTTTTTTTTCATTTTAACAGCCAATATGTGTTCTATGCAAAAAATTACGCTTTTTGTAAAAAACGCTACAAAAAATTCATTTTTTAATGGTCATAATTTTTCGTCGTTCAGGGAAAAGGAAAGTTCACCTATTTTTGGAAAAAATGGATTTTTGATTTTAAACAAAAATAGAAAAAGTCATCATGACTACCGCGAAAGCACTTTCTTGTGGACGGTCTACTTCATGACACTGCCAACCCCTTAATTTATACTATTTTTCATTCAAATTTTCATCAAAAGTTGTCCACATATTGCACTTTTAAATGTAAACAAAATAAATTGTATATTTATTTGGTATCTTTTAAAAAATAAGGGGAAAATAAGCTTTTTTTTTGGCATTCACTATCGCGGGAACTTAGTCCCTTCTCACGACAGGCATGTCTTAACGCGGGTGAATTCTTGAACGCCTAATATTTAGGGGGTCGTACATACAGCAATATTTTCCTTCTCTTTCATAAGAACTTCTGAAAAACTTCCCTTTTTCAGGTTCTAGAGCAGACTACTACCATCATATCAGCAATTTTAAATAAAATTAAATTTAAATGAAAGTAGAATTTTTTAAATTGCAATTTTATTTCATCTTTTCTGTGCCAAGTAACATTAGATGTTTACAAATATGTTCCATGTACATATTTTTGTTGATACCATTAATTCATCTAGCCATTTCTTTCATTTTTTATACTCTTTAAACACATATCCGCTCTTTATAGCAAAGAATTTCTTCTATTTTGTATATTCTCTTATTTGTGGTTTTAGTAGCAATATTATGCTGTCGCGTACACTGACAAATATATCCTGCAGAAATATATTTACATATATACAGTAAAGTTCGCAAAAAGAGTGTAATGGTATAACTTAATGTAAGGATAGAGTGGCATGTGGCTTACAGTATGACAATATCGCGGTTTGTACCTCTTTCATTACCACAACAATGCCACAATCCCAAAGCAACCGAGCTGACAGGTGAATCTGCGGATTGGTCTAGTTGCAGTAACGAGTATATGAGACAGACGGGCAGGCAAGCAGGCAGCCAGGCAGACAGCCAGCCAACAACAGCCTGGTTAGTGAGGCAGATAAAGTGGCTTAATACTCATGCGTTGTGTATGTACTCGAATGCAGTTTGTAGTATTGTATTTTCGCTATTCGCCACTTGTATAGAGATATCACCGTTGTATCGTAGATTATACTCTTATCTAACATTCGCTTAGCGTATACAGCGTGCCACTTAATATGCTTACACCGTTACTCCTATATACAAGTGGATGATAAGCTATTATTTGTTGTTGTTCTAAGATATGCATGAATTTAAATATTTTCTTTATAAATCCTCCGTCGTACGCTCGCATGTATTGGTGAACGCATTCCACTCTTTCTAATAATCATATTTTAATGTTAATGTGTTAAGGTGAGGCGGAGTTTTTCTCCTAATCCATAAAAATATTAAAAATAAAAAACTCAAGAATGGTTTTGAGCTTTAGCAACTTGACTTGCTTTATCACAATACGTTTTATTCAATTTTTAAATTTAAGAAAACCAAAAAGGTAACCTTTCTTTAAAAGCTTCATATCATCAAGTTTTTCAATGAAAATGATATATCAAACTAGAAGATTGTTTTAGTTTATTTTATTTTTTTTATTTTTTTATTTCATTTTATTTTATTTAATTCAGGTTAATTTAATTTTATTTATTTTTATTTTAAAAGATTTTAATTTAACTTATTTTATTTTGTTTTATTTTAATATGTTTTATTTTATTTTATTTTATTTTATTTTATTTTATTTTATTTTATTTTATTTTATTTTATTTTATTTTATTTTATTTTATTTTATTTTATTTTATTTAATTTTATTTTATTTTATTTTAATTTATTTTATTTTATTTTATTTTATTTTATTTTAATTTATATTATTTTATTTTATTTTATTATATTGATTATATTTTATTATATTTTATTTTATTGTTTTTTATTTTATTTTATTTTTAGTTAGAAATCTTAAAAAGTAAACACCAATCTAATAAATAGAAAATAATAGATTAATTAAAAATTTATAAAATAATTTAGTTTAAAAATATTATTTACAATCTCATGAGTTCTCTATTCTCGATAATGTGAACAGTAAGTAACCTCTGAATCTAAAATAAAGTCTCTATTCTAAAGGCAAAGTAGAAGCAAACTATCTTTAGCTTATTCTCAAAACATAAAAAATTGGTATTGAAATTTAAAAAAAAAGTGTAAACCTCGAAAAGCTCTGAGTTCATACTTCCCTAATGTTAATAAAGTTTGAATTTTGTTTTGAGAGATTTGAAAGCATAGGACAGAGTTTGCCATTGTCGCAATAAAAACAAAAAGAAATGGATTTTAAGAATACGCGAGGCATATTTTGCTGAAGCACACATGTTTTCTTAGTTATTCACATATAAGGACATCACTGGAGTAAATAAAAGTTGTTCCTACTTATGCTAACTCATAAGTTGTACAAAATATGGGAATTTGTAAGTAGCCTTATTAAAAGCTCGTATACATTGCTTATGTGCATACTGAGAAATATATTCATAAATATAAAATTTTTAGATGCCTAGCAGTTTTTGTTAGAAAAAATGGAAGTAGTGTCTCTATTTCAAGGAGGTTAATTTGCAAAAAAAAATATTTTAGATGCTAAAACTATAAATCATATACGAGAAAAGTTAAATATAAAAACGTGAGCGAAAAAGTCACTGAAAAATATCTGCAGACTTGAATTCGGAATAAAATTTTTTCCCCGAAATACTGGTAAAGTCAAGGTTAGTTAACATATCGCATGGAGTCAATAAGTTTTGCATTTTACTTCATTTTATTTAATATTTTTAATTTAATTTATATCATCTTATTTTTTTTTTGTATATTATTTTTTTTTATTTTATTTTGTTTTATTTTATTTTATTTTATTATATTTTAATTTATTTTATTTTATTTTGTTTTGTCTTATTTTATTTTATGTTATTTTATTTTATTTTATTTTTTTTTTAATTTTTTTTTATTTTATTTTATTTTATTAAGTTATTTTATTTTATTTTATTTTATTTTATTTTATTTTACTTTATTTTATTTTATTTTTTTTTAATATTTTTTTTTTGTAATTTTATTTTATTTTTTTTTTAATTTTATTTTATTTCATGCTGTTTTATTTATTTCACTTTACTTTATTTTATTTTGTGTTCGTTTATTTTATTTATATTATTTATTTTATGTAATTTTTTACAATTAAAGATTTAAATGACATTTATTACAATTAGATATATTTTCTCACGAATCGAATTGTTAGGTACGCATTTGAAGCGGATCTCATTAAAAAACTTATTAGCTAAGTAAAAGGGACATTTGCCAGTCTCTATGAATGTTTTTGCTCTGCATGAATGTGAAAATAGTTAAGTGACATGGGAGCTCTCAGTGAGCTGTCAACTGCTGTCACTTTAATGAATAATCGGAATCTTCGGTGGATGTGCATACATATGTCTTTGCGCATATATGTGAGCACATTAGTGTCTGTGTCTGTACTAAAAACCACTATGTGCATGCGACATCTTCTCAGGTCACAAGTGTGCACTTAGTTGAATGGCTGTGTGGCGAAATCGTTTCAATTGAAATAAAGTGACAAGTATTCTTCAACAGCTGACATGAGTACTTACTTAAACTGATAATTTAGTGCAGGTAGGAGTGTAAGTGATATGAAAATGATGGTATTAAATTACTTAGCGAGACTTTGAATACTGGCGGAGTTTGATTTAAACATATGCGCTCATACGTTATGTCGTATATATGTAAATAACTGAGGGCTTAAAGGTTTTTTGTATGTACATACATACGGATTTAAAATAATGAGGAAATAAATATAATTTATTTGAAAATTTTCAGAAATATAAAATCTTATCATGAAAATTGGTATGAGTTTATTTTTATTAGTGACTTTTCGTACCGATTCTTTCTGTGTATTTGGTTTTTCTCTTTTATGCAACATTTCAATTTAGCATTTCTCAACTTCACTCGCATATCATTTGTGTCTCCTGCATAAC